TATCATAGAAGTATTAAAGAAAATCGAGAGGCATGCGAATGCGCGTTTGCTTTCCAACGAGGAAATTAATATATTAATTTTGCCCTCGTTTGGACTTGAAGCCACTAGCTTAGCGTTTATTTTTGGAACTATAAGACCCCCACTTAGATCGTGCAAAAAGGCAATATTCTCGTGGGAAATGTTTATACTGAATTTTCATCATCGTCATCATCATGATTAACTCCTCTCGTATCGCCAGTAGAAGCCGTGATTGGACCGTAGACTGTCACATTCCAATGAACTGGCAGTAGTAACATCTCCAGGTTGTGATGGTTCGTTGCCAACGCGTCCGGCTTGTGTAACAGCAAGCTTTTTACAAGACAAGCTCTTAGTGCTGCGCCCAACCTTAAAACTAGTGGACCAGCGAAGCACTCTTTGTCTAGTCTCTGCATTTCTAACCGCTAACCTGCTCCGGGCTCGGATGAACCTACCAGGAGTGCAAGACTCCAGTCGAAATAGCTCTGGGTATCATAGAGGCACACAAACTGCCCCGTCACGATAAGATAGCAAGCGACTGCTTTATATTCGGAGCAGATACGTACTGAATATCGTTACTTTAATTAACGTAAAATTCCGATTTATATCACGCATACATCGATCACGATCAAAACAAGGTAGAAATCTCCATGGCTTTACTTATTTATATATTTATTTTTCGTCTTTCAATGCCCATTCAACAAAACAGCTGAGTAAGTTGCCTTCACAAAACTCAAGTCAGAAACAAGCCTTACCCAAACGATTATGTCTCGAAGCATATTCCGTTATATTATTTCAAGTATTTTTTTCAACTCTTCAAACGATATTACTTGTACCAATGCCGTATTGGCCATGTTTGTAACATATTTTAAAGGCCTGACAACATATGAAAGAGCTAAATTCTAACATCATAACTCACAACATCTTTTGATCATGGCATCACGTGGTTGACGCTTTGTTTTATCGCTCTTCTGTTTGTGGTCGCTTGAAGGTGAGAGCCGCCACAACTTAAGAGTGGACTTTTTAGGTTTGGACATACATTTCTTTCAGATTATTTCTTATAAAACTTTGTTTAGCTGATATGGCATAACCGTTTTTGTAGATGTAGATTACTCCGTTGCTGTAGCGCAGATTTCCGTTCAAGACAGCTGGCTCTAAGACAAAGGGAGGGCTCGGCGAAATGACCTGTTTTGCGCGTTGATGTGATCAGGAAATGTCATATTTCCTTTCTCTAAGTTCTGTTGCTTAATCTGTGATTAATACGTGTTATATATAGCGTGTACGTAGTAAAAGTAAAATACATTTTGTCTCCTAAAGATGCAGAAATTAGCGTTGAAGGTTTTTCTCTACCAAAAGTACAACGAACAGAACAACGGCATTCATGGAGCGTACTCAGTATTCTGATCACCTAATATCTTTGACATGGTGCTCATACCCGCCTCGATGCAAGTTATATCGCTCTTCAGCCTCTAAATCCGGGTTTAAGCTGTCTGGATTCTTTCTTAGCTGCCTTTTGTGATCTTTATTTAGTTTAGGTTAAAGCGTTAGAAGAGTCGGAAATATCGGCTAGTTCCAGCCGTGAGAGGCTCTGAATAGATAACCTGAACAATAGTTTAAATATCTGGGGGAAGCAATTTCACTACTGATCATGTGGATGTGGTGTTATCATTGCTTCAGAGAGAGAAGGTTTGCACGTTTTCCAACAATGCTCCCTTGGTTAGCCCGACTCCCATAGCCAGCACCCCAAGTTTACTCGCAAAAATCTGCGTAGATTACAATTGGTCAAATATAGCACTTTCTAGAAAGGTTGTATTGTTCATAATTTTGATGAACACTCTATCCACGAAGACACGGTGATATATACGCAAGGTGAGTTAGGTAGTGAAAATAAACTGATTCGTTTGTTTTT